TGAGCCCCTGAAAATGGAGGGACTGTGTATAAAAATAGTTGCAGTTCCTAAAATTTGTACTTGATATTTATGTTCAACCCCTTGAATTCAAGCTAAAAGTCTGCACTTCAAATTCATTTGGATTGTTTCGGTTTAATTAATCTGGTGGAATACAGAGCCAAAGATATGAAACTTGTGCCTGTGTCCAAATATATATGGACCTAATTGTACGTGCTGTGTTCTGTGCTGGAACACAAACTGGAAACCCAGGTGTTTCAGATCTTGGGAGACCACCCAGCAATATTAAGTGATTCCCAAGTTTCCTGGAAAATTGACAGCACCATAATGAATGTATAGTACATTTATGAAATAAAAACAAGTCTGGCACCTAACAAAAGTAGAACTATAGGAAAAATGTTTTCTTTCAGTTTGGATAGAGTAATATATAACCCCTGTCAGTTTATTTTTTCCACCCCATTGGGGAGATTTCCCTTACTTACATAGCCAAAACAAGAAGTGAGAGAAAATCCCTGCAAATTAAAGGAATCTCTTGGGGACCCCCAAGTCACCAAAACTAGTGTCCCTATTGCAAGATTTCCCCTTTTTTCTGGGGACAACCCAATTTATCATTTAAGTTTATCGTAAGGGAATGAGGTAGCCTCCAGGTTATCCAGCTCTCACTGTACCTATTACTATATGGGTTCCAGTATCAGTTTTCTATAGATGGCAGCAGTACTGCATGACACCGATACACTTCATAGGAATTGAGAGAAAACTTTTACAAGTGAATGAAATTCCTTGCTTACACAACTGTCACTTAAATAGGTATCCCCATTGGAATTTTCCCTATCTACTCCTATTACATTGACAACCTAAAATTTTGTATTTCCCCTCACTTTCTGTATTGGTGACAACAGTCATCAAGACAAATAGCCAGGGTAAATCACCCTAGGGTAGCACAGAGCACAGTAAAGACTTTGATAGGGGTTCTAATCCTTCTCTACTCCCTACTAAGTTTTGCCTGTACATACATTTTTAAATGCAAATTTTTTTATACCAGTACTTGAGTTGGTAACAGCTTCTAGCAATCACTTTCTAGAAGATTGAGGAAGAAGAAAGCAGCACAAGTTGCCAATCAGCTGTGTTGCATTGCAAGGAGCACTGGCAGAACTGTGTAAATCTCATGACTGGATGAAAAAGAATACAAAACCTTTGGTTAGTAAGACATCTCCCTTTTATGCATTTCATCTGTGTATTTAGCCATTTGCCCAAAGTTCAGCTTTAACCCTAGGTTCACATCTATGCGGGTGGTGCCGCTGTGGATCCGCATGAAAATCCGTGCAGCCGCACCACCCGCACAGAGAATTGTGGAACCACGGGCGGGTGCCATTAGTTCTAATGGCACGCTGCCTGCACTGGAAAATGCAACCGTACTGGGCTGTGTTTTCCAAAGAAGTGCAGGGACTTCTTTCCCTGCTTGTCATGGGCACGGGAGTCCATTCAAATGAATAGGCTCTCGTGCCCCTGCAAAACGTGGCCCTCACAGCCGCATAGATGTGAACTGGGGGTAATACATATCTGTGATATAGAAGCTGCCTGTAAATCCAACAGAAAAGCACAATGCTTCATACTAGCAATTCGTATTTTTCCATGCTCGGCCCATTTCGCACAGGTTGCGTCCAGTTCAATTGGCAGGGGATCCATGTACAGATCCATGCTGAATAGGAACAGAACACTTTTACACCATCTGTGTCTGCTCAGTTTTTTTTACTTCTAGAGCTTCCCGACCCTACATTATATTAGATCTATGGGCGGCCAGATGTAAACAGACATTAACGAATACAGGCCTTTTCTGTTGTTTTTTTTTTTTTCCAAGACCTGAACATACTTGAAGGTAATTGGATGTAAACATTTGTTTACATCTGTCTGCCCAAAGACTTACATGGAGCTTCCGATTAGGTCTGCCTAAAAAACCTGATGGTGAACCTGATTAGACCCTCTGTGACAGAGGCCTACTGTGTTGTAACAGGCAGTATATTGCGCTCATGAACAGCTGTTAAAGAACAGATACAAAGAAAATATTGCCTAAAAGTATATATTTGAAACAGTCGTGGAATACCTATCTTGGTAAAGTGCTGCTTTTAAATTTCTATAGTGCAGGGCTCAACAAATCCCAGGCACCAGGTTGTCATGGCGAAAATGCGGCCTGGCACCCTGGATGTTGTCAGCCCCAGTGGTGTAGCATAGGGGAGTGCAGCCAGGTGCAACATTGCCGGGCAGCCTGCAGGTGTCACTGCCACATGTGTGAGGCCAGGGGGAAGGGAAAAGCGGCGCTGTTTCCACCCTGGATGGGCTCAGACTGTAGCTCAGAGTTGGGTGTGGGCAGCCCAGGAACCTGCTACCCTTGTGATAGCCAGTGTGGCCACCTATCAGTACCCCAATAGTGCAGCCTCATTAGTGTCCACATCCCTGCAGCCTCACCCAGTGCCCCATCAGTGCAGCCTCATCACTGCACATCAGTGAAGAAAAATTACTTATTTGAAGAAAAATATGTTTTTTTTTCCTTTGTATATTTAGTAACAAAATGAAAAACCCAGTGGTAATTAACCGCTTCCATACCAGGCACTTTTACCCCCTTCCTGCCCAGGCCAATTTTCAGGTTTCAGCGCTCTCACACTTTGAATGACATTGCGCGGTCTTGCAACACTGTACCCAAACTAAACTTTTATCATTTTCTTCACACAACTAGAGCTTTCTTTTGGTGGTATTTAATCACCACTGGGGTTTTTATTTTTTGCTTAATTACTTTGTTTCCGTTATAAAAGTTTGCAAATAAATAATTGTTCTTCATACATTTAGGCCAAGATGTATTCTGCTACATGTCTTTGGTGAAAATAACCCAAATTAGGATGTACTATTTAGTCTGTAGGAAAGTTATAGAGTTCACAAACTATGGGATAGATCTGAAAATTGATCAATCCTGAAGTACTGACAGCCAATCTAATTTCTTGAGGTCCAAGAATGTCAGAACAGTACAGATATCCCCAAATGACCCCTTTTTGCAAAGTAGACAGTCCGATGTATTTCATAAGAGGCATGGTAAGTTTTTTGAAGTTGTAATTTTTTTGTCATAATTTTTCGGAAAATGAATTAAAAAATATTTTCACTATTTTTTTTTTTTTTTACATACTGTCACCACTGCAGTACAGCATCATGATATAACTGGCATGGCGGTGATCAGGGACACTGACTGGTGACAGTATGAAAAAAAAAAATTGATAATTTTTTTTTATTTTAAAATTTTTTATTACTTTTTTTAAGATTTTTTTTCATATTTCACTGTGACCAAAGTAGTACAATGTTACCATAGTAACATTGTACTACTTTGGGGAAGTGATCAGTATTTCTTTTTACACAATTTGCTTATAGCAAAGAATTACTTTGCTATAAGCAAGCATTTACCTGAATGTAATGATTCATTCAGGGTTTTTTTTTTTTGTGCTTAGCTGTGATTTGGCCATGGCTAATACCATGACACAGCTGGGCTGTGATTGGCCCAGCTTGTGCATGTGATCGCTGTGACCATTCACAGCCAGACACACTTGTCTACAATGGATGGCATGAAAGGAAGCCATCCATTGTATACAACTGTCATGTGACCTGCTGTGATTGGTCACTGCAGGTCACATGGTACTGACAATGTTGCCGGTACACAGATCTGTCATCGGCCGTGTCCAAGGTACAGGGCCGGTGACAGATCGCGCCGCAGCGCGGCCCTGAGGGCGTGCGCGTTCCTGAAAGGACACAATATGGCATCCACACGGAGGGACGAGCTGTTTGCCCGGCCGCCATCTGGCTATAGACCGGGTGGCAACTGGTTAAATACGACTAAAAGAAATCTCTGTCTCAAAAAAAAGGATACAAATTTAATATGGGTACAGTGTTACATGACCGCGCAATTGTGTTTTAAAGTATGACAGCGTTGAAAGTTGAAAATTGGCTTGGGCAGGAAGGGGGCAAAAGTAACCAGTAGGAAAGTTGTTAAAAATCTGGCTCTTAACTTTTTTAGCTGGCTCCTAGACTGAAAGCAAATTTGTAAAGCCCTGCTATAGTGGCTGATCACATGCCTGGTTATGAGATCTCAGCTGATGGGGTCTGTGGACTATTGTTCAGGCAGTGCCAGCTAGGCAGAAACCTTAGGTCCCTTAATGGCCAACTCTGGGAAATCTGAGAATTCTCCCTTGAGGTGGGCTGTGTCTGCTTAGCTAGGGTTAACTGCAGTTTTATTCTAGGGGAGAGTAAAGGACTTCTACTTGTCTGATTCTCTGCCCCAGCAGACCACACTCCCATAAGCTTCCGCGGTGGACTATGCATTGATTTCATCACATCCAATGCATGGCTATAGACCCTGTATCAGTCTGTCTGGATGATGCTATAACACAGGAGCATGGGGGAAAAGATGCTGTAGGGACTGATCTAGGAGCACAGAGAAATGGAGGATAGGGTAAATCTTCCTTTCTCTGTCCCCTAGACCTGAACAAGCAGTCCCACTGCAAAGGAGGACTTTCATGTTTCCCTGATTTGTTCTTTAACTTTTTAACACTTTTTCTGACCTTCCGCCCCTCTCAACCAATCAGAGTAGTTCTTATTTTAAAGCCAAAAGTAACCTTTATAATCTGAATGAATGTTTTTTTATCAATGTTACTGTTCTTTCACAGAATAAGGCTCAAGCCTAATGTTTTTATGTGGACTTAGAAATCTCAAAAGGTAGCAAAGCAATATATGGTATTGGTTGATGATAGATACCACCCCCCGCCTATGTACTAATTAAAGAGTTTCGGAAAAAATAATACATCAGTTTTAGAGTTGTGGTACAATTGTAATTTTTCTTCTTCTTTTTTTTTACATTTATTTCATGTTTTATATACAGAACACTGTCATTAAAAACTATTAATATACACCTTTAGAAAATATGCTCAATCTTGTATTTAAAAACTATTACCATTAGACTTATGATTACATCACATTATGGATATCAACTTCTCACATAAAATATTCCACTTTGTTTGAACTTCATAGTCTTGTGGAGAAGTTCTGATCAAAGTGCTCACTAAAAATACAGTTTCACTTGAGCAAAATTTGCTGCCCACCAAAATATTTTGCAGCTCATCACACTGTCCTTTAGAAAGCCACTGGTATGGCAATACAATAGAACAGCTCTCTATACAACCATTTTTTATAGCCATCGTTAATTTCACATCTATAACCGAATCCTCATGAAAAATCTGAAAGGAAGTCACAATGTCAAACTTTGGTGTTTTTCCATAAATCCACTCCCAAGTGCACAAATCCTGTTTCTTTTGAGATATGCCAGGAAAGATTGTCTCATCAGTTGGGTCAACTACTTGGACATGAGGCTTGTTATCATACTCGAAACTGTATTCTTTGGCCACCGCATCCATGACAGTTTCACATGTCAAAGACGAATGAGCTTGGGACAGGTTTTGAACCAGTGAAGGAACACTAGGTGTGGCATTACTCTGTATGCCTGTGTATGGACTTTGCAACACTAATGGTAGGATAGAACTGTCTGCATCACACAGCAAGGTACAGTGGTGATAGGCAACAGTCCTTCCAAGCTTAGATGCAGTCCCTGAAATTTTATATTTGCCGTCTAAGAGCAGGTCATATCTTTGTGTTGCTTGGACATTCAAAAATGGTTCCAGTTCTTTAAGAGCTCTAATAACCAAGTTTAAATTTTCCATTCGATCATACTTTTTCTTTGAGGTAAAAAAAGTTAGATTAACATTGCCCAGATCATGAAACACTGTCCCACCGCCACTTCTTCTCCTTGCCAGGCCAATTCCTTTTTCTCTCATCAAATGGAGGTTGCATTCTTTCCATGGATTTTGGTGACGGCCAATAACCACTGTTGGTGAATTCCTCCACAGAAACAAAACGTTCTTCTCTTCTAAGTTCATATGATCATGAATCCAATCTTCTACAGCCAAGTTCTCATATACATTGTTGGACACAGACTGCAAAATGAGACCTTGTCTCACCGAACTTCCAAACTTAACTACTGATGTATGAAAAGAAACTGGAAGCCTGATTCTTTTTAAAGTTGACTGGATCAACATCATTTTACACTAAGAGAAAAAACAAAAATACACATTTAGACAATGGAAATTGCATGTACATTTTAACTAAACAGAGACATGAAGTAAAAATGGAAGCAACACAATCTTTTGCACACCATTACTTGTCTAAATACTGTATAGAGCTTTCCATAAGTATGTACCCCCTTGGACTGTTCCACATTAGTGTTGCTACTTAAGTCCACCAATCTAAAAAAGTAGTTCATCATGATGACTGGAATAAACAAGTATATCGTTTTTGGTCTTTTATTATTTCTAAAATATCTTGAAAACTTGGCTGCCCAAAGCAAACCATTTGCACACCTTTGCTTTTTAATGTACAAGCAATTACAGTGAAATCAATAGGAAGCATAAAAATAAATCTGCATACATTTCTCTCAATTAACTTGTAATGCAAATTCTATTGATTTCAATAGAGAACATGTGCCTAATACCGCATAGGCTTGATTCTTGGGGCCCACACTATTCCCCTTTGCTGTCAATTTTCTAAGTAAAACCTGTTGCAACCAACCCAAATAATAGCATAATTTGTTTAATACAGTCCACCTGTTGGTAACTAAAGTGTCACATGATCTCAAAATAAAATCAGTTTCTGAAGATCCCAGAGTAGAGAATATGCCTAAACAAATGGTATTATGAAGACCAAAAAGCTAACTAAACAAAACCAGAATAACAGTCTGGAGAAGCACCAAAAAGGGTTAAAAAAAAAAAATATGCCACACACTGAACGTTAAAAAAATGTTAAGGATATGACAAAACCATAGTCCTGGCTAGAGAATGCTATCCACCAAAACCAGGTAAGGAGTTCATTATTTGGAGAGGCAACCAAGAGGTGTATGATAATTCTGAAGCAGCTCCAGGTGATATTTAATAAACCATTTATACAGAGTCATGTTGCCAATGGTGCCAATTGAGGCGGTCACTTCAAGGTGCACTCATGGAGGCCACTGGACACTCTCATCCACTCACATCCTTAGTGCAGCACAGTAACAGTTAGCTTGATCATATCCACTGCTGGCATGGTCCTTCATTTATGGGAAAACATTGAAGGTCCATGCACACTGGGTTTAAACGCTGCTTCTACAGAAGTTTTGTGTTTTGCCTGTACAATGTTATCCTATGTGTCCATGCACATTAGGACTTTTAGAGGCATATTTTAAGCTCCATGCTTTTGAGAGGACCTTTATGGCAAAAAATATGTTAAGTGCTTCTAAAATGCCTGTACAAAAATGCTCCATATAAGCAATTTTTTGTCTGCCAAAAAAAAACTGAAAAGAACTGGTGTTTTTAGTCCCAGTGTACGAGGACCCTAATCCAGACAACGGGCTTTATAGAAGAGTGAAGAAAAAAAAAAAAAAGTCATGCGGGAGATACAGAAAACATTTTGAAAAGGTTCTTTGGTATAACATGATTAAAACTTAACAAGTTGGCTTTAGTGTAAAACACTATGGGGTTGATTTACTAAACTAGGAAAGTGCAAAATCTGGTAGTAGCCAGCTTCTAACTTCAGCTTGCTCAATTAAATTTTGACAAAAAAAAACAAAAACAAACTGGAAGCTGATTGGTTTCTATGCAGAGCTGCACCAGATTTTACGCTATCGAGCTTTAGTAAATCAACCCCTATGTGGTCTATATATAAAGGTTTTCGCCCATGATTCACACAACTGTCACCCAGTTTTTCCATTTTATCCTAATTCATTCAGTTGGGAAAATGTGTGAATAATGACAAAGTGAAAACAAAACTTTAATCAATGTCTGTGAATTTATTGAACATGGAAAAACTGAAATATTACATTGACATAAGTATTCATATCCTCTGCAACAAAACTTAAAATTTAGCTCAGGTGCCTCCCATTTCTCTTGATCATTTGAGATGTTTCTATACCTTGATTGGGAGCTCACATCTGGTAAATTAAATTGACATGATTTGGAAAGGCACACACCTCTCTACAAAAGGCCTCACAGCTGACAATGCATACTGTATCTGAGCAAAAGCCACATGGTCAAAAGGATTTGTCTGCAGAGCTCAGAGACAGGATTATTGCAAGACGCAGATCAGGGGGAAGGCTAAAAAATCAGCACAGTGGCCTTCATAATTCTTAAATAGAAGAAATCTGGTACAACCTGAACTCTTCCAAGATCCTGCTGCCTGGCAAAACTGTGCAATTGGGGGAGAAGGGCCTTAGTAAGAGAGGAGACCAAGAGCCCAATAGTCACTCTGACTGAGCTCCAGAGATCCTGTGTGGGGATGGGACAAAGTTCCAGAAGGACAACCATGGCAGAGTGGCTAGACGGAAGCTTCTCTTCAGTGCAAAACATATGAAAGCCTGCTTGGAGAATTTTTTTACTGGATATGTTTTATAGCAAAAAGTCTAATATATAGGTTTTTTTTTCAAGAATTGTCAGTCTTTTTGTTTATACTGCAAAAATAAAAAGCGCAGAGGTGATCAAATACCACCAAAAAAAGCTCCATTTGTGTAAATTTTGTTTATGTACAACGTTGCATGACTGTGTAATGACTGTGTAATGTTAAAGTAACACAGTGCTGTATTACAAAAAATGACCAGACATGCACCAGAGAAGAGAAAGATATGGGCTGCTGTGTGCAAAACCATTACACAGAGCAGGTACAGTGCCTTGAAAAAGTATTCATACCCCTTGAAATTTTCCACATTTTGTCATGTTACAACCAAAATGTTTCCAAATTGTTTTTACAAATAAATATCTGAAAAGTGTGGCGTGCATTTGTATTCAGCCCCCTTTACTCTGATACCCCTAACTAAAATCTAGTGGAAAAATAAAATATATATAGTGTTGCGCTCCCAAACCTCAAATCAATATATTATTATTTGAATTTGATCTCTATTTTAAAGATTTCAGTAATTAAGAATGATGTGTACGAATAAACTTATATACTAATATTTGATTGAATCAAATCCCCCTGATGAAGCCACGTGACCAGTGGCGTAACGCGTAGGGGTGGGACTGTAACGTCACTCGGAGGGAGTCAGTCTGTTTGCCGGACCACGAGCACACAGCTCCGACAATCAGCGGCGGTCTTGGATTGTATTAGTGCTACCACTATCCGCACACCTAATATGTGAGTGCCATATTTTGAGCAAATAAAAGTCACACTTATATAAAAGATAAAGCACCATGTCGAGATCTTTTTTGTATGTGGTGAATCGTATGGAGATGAAAAAATAGACGAATTGCACCCGCTGGAGAGGAGATTCATCCTATAGCATATGTTACACACCATGGATATCCTAAAGCAGGAGTTCTAAACAAGCAGGTTCCAAAGGAGGTGAACCACAAGTTTATATAGCCTAATTGCAGGCTTCTTATGAGGTGAGCGCACATCTTCACTTGAGGGAGGATTCACAAGCAGTCACTAATCATTGTAAATTGAAGATTTTCCAGCACAAAGTCACTTTTTTGGGACATTATTTTTTATTTTTATTTTTATTTTTTTTTATTATTTTTTTTATTTTTATATTTTATTTTTTATTATTTGCAGTTTATTTTTTCATGCACATTAATTATTTGTATTAATTCAAAGTATAAGAATATTAGTATATAAGTTTATTCGTACACATCATTCTTAATTACTGAAATCTTTAAAATAGAGATCAAATTCAAATAATAATATATTGATTTGAGGTTTGGGAGCGCAACACTATATATTTTATTTTTGCGGTCTATCACATTGGTAGTTATGTGCTATAGGTTTGCGATCCATTAATAGAGTGTATTTATAAGGAGTTTTTGTCTACTTTCTGGCTCGCAAGACATTTCCATTATTTTATAAAATCTAGTGGAACCAATTGCCTTCAGAAGTCACCTAATTAGTAAACAGTCCATCTATGTGTAATTTAATCTCAGTATAAATACAGCTGTTCTGTGAAGCCCTGAGAGGTTTGTTAGAGAACATTAGTGAACAAACAGCATCATGAAGGCCAAGCAACACACCAGATAGGTCAGGGATAAACTTCTGGAGACGTTTAAAGCAGGGTTAGGTTATAAGAAAATATCCCAAGCTTTGAACATCTCACGGAGCACTGTTTAGGTGGGCGGCCAGGTCTTGGAGCACTGTACAATTCATCATCTGAAAATGGAAAAATTATGGCACAACTGCAAACCTACCAAGACATGACCGTCCACCTAAAGTGACAGGCCGGGCAAGGAGAGCATTAATCAGAGAAGCAGCCAAGAGGCCCATGGTAACTCTGGAGGAGCTGCAGAGATCCACAGCTCAGGTGGGAGAATCTGTACACAGGACAACTTTTGGTTGTGCACTCCACAAATCTGGCATTTATGGAAGAGTGGCAAGAAGAAAGCCACTGTTGAAAGAAAGCCATAAGAAGTTCCATTTGCAGTTTGTGAGAAGCCATGTGGGGGACACAGCAAACATGTGGAAGAAGGTGCTCTGGTCAGATGAGAACAAAATTTTACTTTTTGGCCTAAAAGCAAAACGCTATGTGTGGCGGAAAACTAACACTGCACATCACCCTGACAACACCATCCCCACCGTGAAACATGGTGGTGGCAGCATCATGTTGTGGGGATGCTTTTCTTCAGCAGGGACAGAGAAGCTGATCAGAGTTGATGAGAAGATGGATGGAGCCAAATACAGGGTAATCTTAGAAGAAAACCTGTTAAGAGTCTGCAAAAGACTTGAGGCTGGGGCGGAGGTTCACCTTCCAGCAGGAAAACGACCCTAAACATACAGCCAGATCTACAATGGAATGGTTTAGATCAAAGCATATTCATGTGTTAGAATGTCCCTGTCAAAGTCCAGACCTAAATCCAATTGAGAATCTGTGGCAAGACATGAAAATTATAAGGAGAAAGACCCCCTGCGCTGAAATGGATGTAACCTACCCTAAGCAGCTAACACCCTCCTTTAACCACAAAGTATACAAATATTATGAAGAAAATGGTGTAGCGCTAAATCAATAGTAAACAGAAGCATCAATAGC